GAAAGTAAGACCTTCCCCTTGGTGGCAGTTATTTTGCTCTATGCAGTGCCATAGCAAGGGGTGGGGAGGGGGCGAGCGGGGCGAAAGTCCCAGGTACCAAAGTGAGGGGGGCCCAACAGGCACTGCCCAGCTAGGGTGGGATGTGGGACGGAGCTGTGAGCAGCTTGTGTGGGGGAGGGATGGGGTGCAGGGATGGGGGAAGGGCAGCTCTTGCTGCTGCATACAATCCTGGGCAAGCGTGGGGTGTAGGAGCATGTGCAGGGCTCTGTGTGGGCAAGGGTGGGCTGCCGCTGCAGGCATTGCCCCAGGTGCCAAACTTTGTTGCTATGGCACTGGCTCTATGCTTTGTATGTGGCAGCAGCTTTTAATGCAAGATCATTGCTCAGTGCTGTGCCTGGACACTGAACCAATAGCTCTCCAGAACAATTACAGCCTAGACTATACCCAAGTTGCTTTGTACTCCCAGTGATGGACTGTCTCCCCACACTCCCAGACAGGTGATCATGACTGAGAAAACCCCAGAGCCACATGTGGAGGAAGATGATGATGAACTGGATGACAAACTGAATTACAAGCCCCCACCGCAGAAAACACTTCAGGAGCTGCAGGAGCTGGACAAGGATGATGAAAGCCTTGCTAAGTACAAGAAATCTCTGCTGGGGGACGGGCCTGTGGTGGCAGGTATGATCTAGATTCATAGATGCTAGGGTTGGAAGGGACCTCAACAGATCATTGAGTTCAACCCCCTGCCGTGGCAGGAAAGAGGGCTGGGGTCAGATGACTGATAGATCTGAGGAGGCAGGCTCAGAGAGGCATCACGGTACACAGACACTCCACAGTTACGGCTGTGGTGTTGTAGGGAGGGGTTGAGATGGTCCATAATGAAGAAGAATCCAATATTGGCAGATATAAGCACTGCTTGTGCTGAGGGGTGGGAACAAACTAGGAGATATGTGCCTGACCGGGGTCCAGGGATTCAGCTGGAGATGAGGTCTATAACTCAGCTGGAGATGAGGTCTTTGGGTAGCAGTAACTCAGATGGGGCAGAGGCTTGTGACTCATGCGTGTTTATGACTGGCAAAGTTCCTGTTGGGGAAGGGATTTATGGTGACAGGCATATCTCCAAAGCAGGACTCTTTTCAGGAGGTTAGCATATCAGTTGTGTACCTGCATTGTGTCTTGCTATGGGAGTGTCCTGGAACAGACGGATCTTTTTAGGAAAGAGTCTTTTAGGGTGACGGATGAAGATTATAGATTGATAGCATAAGATGAGCCAGTTGTTTCCCGGTGCCACTGACAGGGCAGTCTTGCCATAGGGAGGTGCTTCTAGATTTCATTAGTTATGTCTTCCCCCTTAAACTCTTGTTTTACAAACTGACTGTCCTCTTCATTTTGATCCTTCAGACCCAACAGCTCCCAATGTAGTAGTCACCCGACTAACTCTAGTATGCAGCTCTGCTCCGGGGCCAATCACAATGGACCTGACTGGTAAGTGAAGGTGTTTCTTGTCCTGTGTGAGAACAATCAGAGGTCCAGCCCAGGCTTAAAGTCTAGGGATAATTCTGGTCCATGTTTCCTATTTGAAGTTGGCCCTGGGGAAGGCAAGGTGAATCCTTGGGGAGTAGTCCCTAGGGAGACTCTGGGCCATGTTTCTGATTTAATGTATAACAAAAAAAAGGTAAGGAGTAATGAAGGCATGTGCCAGGGTCTCCAGCTTCAGACAGCCTGCAGAAGGGCTTGGAGAGTTCTCAGAGCGCCGAGTCTTAGTGCCCATCTACATAGTCAAAGGACTGTGGTTGGGAGCAAGGCAGTGAAACACGGCATGCCTGTTCTGTGCACATCATGCCACAAAATGCATGGAGCATAGCCTCCTTAGTCCGATACTGTGCATTTGCCAATACACTCTCTCTCAGGCATGCTTACTGGTGGACACCCAGTGCCTTATCCCCACCCCTCCATTATTTCCTCCTGCAGTGTAGTGCACAAAAAAAAGGCAGGCCGTTCTTCTCTGTGTGCTCCTTGTTATGGCACAGAGGTGAGTAGACATGCGCTGGGAGTCCCTTAAGTAACAGGAAAGGGTTAGCTCTGCTTTCCATCTGAGTTGCCTCCATTGGCTTAGGGTGTAACAGGCTCTTTTGAAACTATAGAATCAAGCAATACTCTAGTTCTGGCTTCCTGGGGCAGGATGAGAGAGTCATGCTTCACCTTATATGGGCTTTTCATTAGGAGGAAGGCAGGCCTAGTGCAACATAGATGCTTCCTGTTTAACTAAAATATGCAGCGCTCGCTCAACCCTACAAAGCTGTTTATGCTCACACATATTGCCGCCTCCTCCAAAACTTGCCCGGTCTTCATCCCTTACTGAAAGCTGGGGCCTTGCATGTGTGAAAGACCTACCATCTAATGTAGATGCTGCATCTGAGTACTTGATGAACTCTAAATTTATCGCAGTAAGCACATGTGTACACTATGTATGTCTACAAGCATGCAGATGAACAGGTATTTGTATACACGCGCGCGCGCGCAAACACACACACACACACTCCAGAAAGCATGCACATAGTACTGATTCTTGCATATACATGTGTGCATACATTTTGTTAGTATGCTTCTGTAAAAATGATGGAAGGTATGACTATGCAAGCACAAATCATGACACAAGTATTTTTTGTAATAAAATTAAAATACATTATAATAGGTGTTTGACTTTTAGTGTATGATTTGGTTTTTTCCTGGTTCTACGATGGCAACCCCCCTCCCAAAAGGAGTATTTCTAGGAAGCAAGGGGAGGGACTTCTGGTGGCAAAAGTCAGGAGTTAGGGGTGGGGCTTCAGGTCCCAAGAGGGTGACCAGGGGGTGGGGCAACTGTCAAGGGGTGGGGCTACCCATGCAGCCCTTGACAGTTCACCAAAACTCATTAAGTGGCCCTCTAGCTAAAATAATTGTCTGCCCCTGATCTAGACTCTTCTCTCCATGGTATGTCTTATACTTCTTTTCTTTTTTTTTTTTTTTTTACAGGGGACCTTGTGGCACTCAAGAAAGAGAACTTTGTATTAAAGGAAGGAGTTGAATACAGAGTTAAGATCCACTTCAAAGTAAGTTTGTTTTCTCTCACAGATTGTTGATTTCCCTTGCTTCAGTAAAAAAGTATGTTCAGGAGTGGAGCAGCTGGAAATGCCATCAATGCTGGTTGCAGTCATGAGCAGCCCGTCAGATAACTAAAGCTGAACAAAATGTCCTCAGTGAACCTCTGACCCATGTTAAACATGCCTCATGTTGGGTATCATTATAACTTGGACCTGATGCACCAAAGAGTTTGCAAACCTTTTGTATAAACTTGAAAAGAGGAGCAGTGAATTGGAGGCAGTATGGAAGCCAGTTAATATTCATGCTTCCAAATGGCCCGCGTATAATCTGAGGTAAAATCCAGTAGCTTTGAATTTTGCTCAAGCTTTTGGGCCTCAAAGCAAATTTTGAATCTACACATTCCAGAGTGAGGAAGGAAAAAGCTCCCCATGAAATCTTGTGTAGCTGATCTGGTCAGTGTCACTTTCTGACTTTCTGGGCCATCTAGAGAGGAGAGAACTGTTGGCTGTGAAAGACAAAATTATGCAACACCTGAGATTTCCTGCATTGTCTTACATCCTCCAAAATAGGCTGTTTTGCCCCCCCCCCCCCCCCCCCCAAAAAAA